CTTCTTTTTTGGAGGGCTCTTCCGCCTGGATGGTTCGATCCACCTTGTCGATAATCGTGCCGCGAGGGGGAAGCGGAGGATACTTCCTGCGGACGGAGACTCGAAAAGCGCTAGACATCCCAGGTTCTGCTTTAGGGTTCAGGGTTTAGGCTTGAGGGTTTAGGGTTTAGGCTTGAGGGTTTAGGGTTTAGGGTTTAGGGTTTGGGGTTGAGGGTTTAGGGTTTAGGGTTTAGGGCTTAGGGTTTGAGGTTTGAGGGTTGAGGGTTTCGGGGTTTAGGGCTTAGGCTTTAGGCTTTAGGGTTTATGTTCAGGGCCTTGGCAGGGCTCTTACGAAGCTTCGATGTGTCTTTTTTAGAATTTCTAGCAGGGATGTTACCAGCGTCTGATGAGGGCTCTCATGAGCTTTTCGGTGAAGAGTTCGAGCCCCTAAACCCTCAATCCTAAACCCTAAACCCTAAGCCCTAAACCCTAAACCCTCAACCCTCAAACCTCAAACCCAAAAAGGGTTTGTATGGGTCTTTCACCGAAGCTTAGCCTCCGGAGTGCTTGTGACGGGGAGGGACGGTTCCGAATGAAAAAGGTTGAGAGTATAGGGTTTAGGGATTGGGGTTTACGGTTTAGGGTTTAGGGCTTTAGGGTTCTAGGGATTGGGGTTTACGGTTTAGGGTTTAGGGTTTTAGGGTTCAGGGTTTAGGGTTTGAAGGGGTTGCAGAAGATTCCCGGCCTGCCCTTGGGGCCCTTGGGGCCCTCGCGAGGGAAGTTGCCGTCCAGCGGCTCGAATTTCTCGGCGCTTCGAGGCTTTGGGACAGGCTGCACTGCAACTGCAACTTGCTTTTAAGCATTTTACAATAAACCCTAAACCCTAAACCCTAACCCCCAAACCCTACAGATGCCTCAAAACCAGGAAGCCACAACAAAGCCCAAATATTGATTCAGAGATAAGGGAGTCGGATCACTGCTACCTGAGCCCGAAACCCAGGTAGACCGGGATCCTAAATCCTGAATCCCCAAAAAGCCAAAAAACCCCGAGAAGCCCTGAAAGATTGATCTGCAAGCTCGGGGTACCAAATACCTGGTATGTATAGTTGTCTTCTGCGGTAGACATAGGACTCATGACTCTATATGACCTATATTACCCGCATTCCCTAAATCTATTTCCGTGTTATCTCTATCGTCTATCTATCAGCAGTAAGCACGTTGTATATACTCACGACATCCATATTCCTGAAGGCCCTTCTATGGGAAAAGTTTGCCTTAAAGGAACCCATGCGGAACCTTTAAGGGAACCTGACGGGAGCAGTAAGGGGACCCTTACAGGAGGAAGGCCCTGCTGGCAGCCCTAACACCCTGATGCAGGGGACTTCATGCTTAGAATAGGGTTTTGGGGCTCCTTTAAAGGAAGGAACAATAAGGAATGGAATGATATCGGTAATTAGTTAGGCTGCGCTAGTAAAAACTAGAGCCCGCAACTCCTTCCAGGGTTTTGGCCTTATAGTTCGACTGAGCCTTACAGGAATCCTTCATAGGAGCCCTTGGACCTAAAAGGGACCCCAGGATAATAGTACCCTTAAAGGACAATGTTTTTGCTCTAGACCCTTTAAAGGAAAGGGCAAGGCAGGGCGCAGTGAGGGCCGGACGGGCCAGGGCTGGGCAGGTAGGGCACAAGAAGGGCAGGGCAAGGGCAGGGCAGGGCAAGGCAGGGCAGGGCAGGCCAGGGCAGGGCACGGCAGCAGCAAGCAGGCGGGGGGGCTTTCAGGGCAGGGTTCAGGGCAGGGTTCAGGAGCCTTCTTAAAGCCCCAGGCCCCTTAAAAGGGAGCCTTCTTCAAGCCCTAGACCCTTTGAAGGGAGCCTTCTTGAAGCCCAAGACCCTTTAAAAGGTAACTTTATGATAGAACCCAAATAGCACCCTCAAAGGAGCCCTAGGAAGTCTTAACAGGGGGGCCTCTGCGAGAAGTCGGCCCTAAAACCCTAAACCACCTAAAGCCGTAAACCCCCAAAAATCCTTAAACCCCTAAACCCTACAACTCTAAAACCCTAACACCCCTAAAACCTTAAACCCCTAAACCCCAAAATCCCCTAAAAACCCTAAAACCCCTAAAACCGCAAAAAGTCGGCCGAGGCACCTCGTTCGTCTCCTGTGCCCAGAAGCCTCTGCAGGTGGCCTGCTTCGCCAGCATCCCTCGGCTGTAGGGTTTGGGGTTTAGGGGTTTAGGGTTTAGGGGTTTAGGGTTTAGGGGTTTAGGCGTTCCAACTTCCCTTGGGGGCTCTTCGAAGGTTAGGGTCCTGAAGGCTGCGGTTTTCGGCTGTAGGCTTTAGGGTTTAGGGGTTTAGGGGTTTAGGGTTTGGGAGGCGTTTAGGGCTTTGGGTTTTTAGGGCTTGGAGCTTCAGGTTTAGAGTTTGGGGTTTGGTGTAACGAGAGTTTGCTATAACGGCTGCTACAATTACAGGTTAGTAGAAGACTACTGAACTTCCAAGCTTAAAGAAAATTTAACGGTCACTATAAAGGTTGCTACAAAAGTTATTGTGAAGGTTACAAAAATAAGGGCTGCAGGTCATTATAAGGCCTCCCATACAAGGATTCCTTTCAATTTAAGGGAACCTCTAAAGGAACCCTCGAAAGGAACACTCTAAAGGAAGCCTTAGAAGAACCCTTAAAGGAACCTCAAAAGGAACCCCTAAAGGAACCTGTAGAGGCACCTTTGAAGGAACCTCTACAGGAACGCTTAAAGGAACCTTTAATGGGATCCTTTAAAGGAACAGGGCCTTTGGACGTTGCTGGACCCGGTGCCACAGCCGGAGTGACTGAAGCTTCTAATGTAGAAGCCTACATAACTACGGTACCAATATTCATTTCGGGGGCTCCTTACTATAGTTATACTACGATATGGAGCACAAAAAACCCTGCTCTAACCATTAAGGCCCCTCTATTATTGGGAAAATCCACCAGACTCCAGGCGAATCCCATATGCGAGTTTTCGAAAATTTGGGTACCTTATTTTGGTGTCCTAAAAGTAGGGATCCTACTATTTAAGGTACTATATTAGGGTCCCCTATTTTCGGAAACCCCCATATGCCAGGACACGCAGCAGCTTGTCAGACTTTGCGTCCACGAAGCCCTGGACAACGTCCACAGAAAGGCTTGGCTCTGAGATGGGGGCCTCCGAAAATAGGGGACCCTAATATAATACCCTAAATAGTAGGATCCTTATTATAAGGACCCCAAGTAAGGTACCCTAATCTTCGGAAAGTTCTAGATAGCCAGCTATCTCAGCTGAAGCAGGCTCAGGAAATTGATCTGCTTGCCATCTTTTGGGGGGTTTCGACCAAAACTCAACCCACAAACTGCACATAGGTAGTTCTGCAAAATAGGATCCCTTTCAGGGCCCTTTCTATCAGGGTGCCGCCTTATTTTGGGTTCCTAAAACAAAGGAGCTTAATTTGGAGTCTATCCCCAGAGGTGTTAAATGCCGCGACCAGTTCGCGGACATGCCCAAAGTAGTCACAACTATCGTGCCGGCACGGAACTGGCAGGCTTGCTTAGCTTAGGCTACTTCCACTAGACGTCCAAGCTCAAAACGAGTCGAATCGACCTCACAAGCAAAATGCGAAGGATTCATATACTCTGTTGATGCTGTGCCGGCTCTGGCGACACACGATTGCCCATTCCTGTCGGTGGCTTGGACACAAACGTTTGAGCCAAAATTGTCTCTGTCCCTCTTTCTCTCTTTATGGGTCAGGGTTTACGGCATGACGAACAGAAAATACAATTCTAGAGAGGGTGTCGATTGAATTTCGCACGATGTTGCCGAAAAATTGATGTTTTAGGTTCTATTGTTCTCTTGATATGTGCATCTTGCCGCGTGTTCTCAACAAACCTGTGCCGAGAGCTCAGAAGGACATCTGCATGCTGGATGCACTCCTGTTTGCCGCCACGCAAGCTTGCAGAATGCACACACCGGTCCAGTGAGCATCGAAAGCGAAGTTCAACTCACTGCCAGCATACTTCAGCTTCAAAGGTCGACCAGCTTGCAGCGGGTTTCCTAATTTTGACTGCAACTACGATGTGAATACGACGTTAGAATTGCACCTTGCTGCTCCAAACATTCCTCAACCCTAAACCTTATAAACCCTGACCCCTGAACCCTAAACCCTAAACGCTAAACCCTAAACATAAAAAAACTAAACCCCTAAACCCTAAACCCGCATACAAGTCTAGGAAAGGACAGCCGTGGGAGGTTTGGAACCGGACTCTGTTATTGTGTGACTGGTGCTCCGTGCTAGAGCTTCCCAAAATCTGACAAGCTTAATCATCCGAAAGTTGACTGAAGCGAAATCTGACGAGAAATGCCTCGAGCTTCACCCGAACGTAGATTCATCAAATCTGACGACCTTCCCGCCAAATCGGACGACCTTTGCTTGAAATCAGAACTTCTTGCGGGCGCAGTCCACCTGCCACGGGGCCAATCTTTTATCAACTTTAGTCTTTTCTGTCAATCACGAGTTCTGGGCTTCATGGTTTTGGACTTCTAGCCTAAGATCTGTACACCGGTTTATGCAACGCACTTGACTAGGCCCTGGCATCTGACAAAAGAAGTCTACTGAAGCTTGCAATCTAGTCTAAGAGTCTAGCATGCTTCAGTCGTCGGTTTGTTGGTGGTGTGACTTTCAACTCAGAACTAAAGACATTACCTTCGACGATCTACCGCAAAGCCACACTCACTGACACTCACAACCTCTGCCGACGATACTGCTACCAAAAGTTGATGTGCACAGGAGGAGCAACACGCTGCAAGTTTTCTCAAATGCGATTGGTGACAGGATCCATCCACAAGTCGCAGGCCTTTGAGAAACACGTATGTGTGGCCTCGGACCGCGGACCCGTCATAGGCGTAGAAAACAGGGATTCCCGAGCTAGCTTCGTAGCGATCGAAGTGATACGATTGCGCACAATCGCATCCGGAAAAGATGATCAGTCATCAGTCAAAAACATCACAGCCACGTCAAGGTGCCGCCACCGGTGGCGGTGCCGCACCCGCATCTGCAACACACATGGCCTTCTTCAGCTCTTTCAGAACTGAAACCTCGGTGGTCAAGCGCGCCTTGACCGCATCCTCCTTTGCACCGGCCAATGTCTGCTCAGCCTCTGTCAACTTCTTGTCGATGCTGCCCATGAGGTTGGGGTCGGCAGACGCCTTCACGATGACTGGCATACGCAAGCCGAAGGTCAAGACCGTGCACAGCTCGCCAGTCAGAAAGCCGAATGGCACATAGATCATGTCGCCAGCATTAAGCGTACTGGTCCACAAACTGGCCTCGTCCATGTACTGCTTCAACATCTCCGGGCTCATGCTCCTGAGGAAGGCCGCCTGACGAACAGGCGGAATCGGCGCGGCGACTCCCTGCCTCTGCATGAAACCAACCAGTTGCAACCAATCGGTCATCACCACGGTGCGGGTGCCCTCCAAGGTCAATCGAAGTGCAGACATGCAAGCTGGCTCGCAACTCACTTTGTCGTACCCAACATCGATCCCAAACGAGCTGGTCATCATGTGCTTCTTGAGGCCCTCACACTGGTCAGCCTGCAACTGCAACTTGTTTGAATCCTTGAAGATTTCCTGCACCTTCTTCTCGAAGACATCCCCGCCGCCTGTTTCGGGGATCTGCTTGGAAGCCCTCATGCCCTTCGAGCTTGCACGGCCAATGTTGAAAGTGGCCTTGAAACCATCATGCTCGCTTGCCACACTGCCCGACACGTCCTTCACGATCGAGGTGGCTTTCACGATGAAGAGGACCTGGAAGTCAACCTGAGCAGAGCCGACTTCCGCCGGCTCCAAGATCCGAATCTGCTTGGCCGCAGCAACGCCTTGGTCGAACAATGCCGGCGACTCACTGGACTTCGCACCCGTCTGGCCCTTCTTGTTCTCCTGAGCAGCTTGCTTGGCGGAGGCTCGTTTCATCTGCTCCCGTGCCGCCTTGATGGATCTCTCCGCTCTGGTGGCACCTTGGAGCAGCTGCTGCAGCGGAGCCTTGTAGTCATTGAGCATGGACGACACATCCTCGCGTTTGGGACAGTCGCTTCAAGTCACGAGGATTCAAGGGGGCATTGGCAATTGGTGAACATGCTGATGCTTCAGGCCTGCTGTTTTTACAAAACAAACTACAACATGCATCTTGAACTCCATGTCTTGGCCACTGCTACGGAGCCCGCTAAAAAAATTGGTTTGAGGCAGTCCTTGACGTGTTGCGGAGTGGTGGCATTCTGGTACTTCCCAGCGCACTCCTCCAAGGCGTCCACGGTCTTCAGCTTGGCATACAGCTCGCATGGAGGACAAGCTCCCATCCGCACCGGCTGGTCTGGCATGGATGCGTCTGCTGCTTCCACGCTGGTGAAGCGAGCAATGAAACGCTTCAGTGCTTCCGCATCTTTGTCACGGAAGCAAATCGCCATTGCTTCAAGCCTGACCCGCCACATCTTGAGTTCGCCGGCCATGTGTTCCTGCTGCTTCTCGCCCATCTCCGCCAGGATCTCCTTCTCAGCTTGCTCCTGCTTCTGTAGCTGCTCCAGGCCCTTGGTCACGAAGACGGCATTCTGGGATTTGGCCGCACGGAGGCTTGCAGACACCACGCGATCCCGCTCCACCCAAACCTTGGGTGCATCGGGCTCCTTCTTCTCACCCTCAGCCGCTGCCTCCGGCTCTTCATCCTCACCCATGTCCTGCATGTCCGGCTGCAGGTCCAAGATGTCCAGCATGAAGCCATCGTTGGACGCGAAGGCATCTTTGCCGCTCTGGGCAAGCACAGGTGCAATCTCGTCAAAGGACATGTTGGCGCCATGGTTCTGCAGCAGCTCCGGGCGGAGCTTGTCAATGTCTTCCTCCGTGGCTTTCTTTGTGGTTTCGCCTTCGCAATAGATCTCCTTCTCTTTCATGTACGAGCTCCGATAGATCAACTTATCGGCCGTCTTCACCCAGATGCGAAGCTTTCCTTGGGGACCGTCATAGTCGAACATCACATTGGAGGCCTTGGCAGTCTTGTTGTTGACAGCGGCGACCCAGCTGTTCCACTGACTCTGTGCGGCCTCCTCCGTCAGCTTCCCGCCGCGAGCCGTTTGGCTGAATTCCATCCACAATTTTTCCCACATCATCTCACCTTCGCAATCACGCACTAATCCGCTTGCGGCTTTGACTCGTTCAATGTATTTGATGAGGCACCACTTTCCACGCCGCCGCCCCATGGTACTGCCGCCACCCTCACCGGATTCCGGGCATTTCTCGTTCTAGGATTGGATCATGTTATAGAGTCTGGTGTCGTCGGGATCGGCTCGCACCTCGCTCACCCATTCCACTGCCTTCGGCCCCTGCTTCTTTGCTAGCTTGCAAATATTATCTAACGAACGTTTACAAGCCCAACAGCCAGGCCAATTCGGAGCTGCTTCGCCAGGTGCAAGTTTCTTGCGACACCCCTTGCATTTCTTGACCACGGTTCTCTTAACGCCTTGGGATTTCGCTTTGGCCTTGGCCTTAGCCGCAGCCCGCACCTTAGCATTCGGATGGACCTTCTCAGAGCTTCCGGGCTCCGAATCGCTTTGCTTTCGTTTTTTGGCAGGGGTCTCGGGCGATGCTTCCTGCTGTGCAAGCCAGCCTTCATCAAGGCTGTCCAAGATGGATTCGGCCATTGCCACTGCCACGCACCGTACGGCTCAAGCAGCCGCCACCCCAACCTCCCTTGACTGTGGCTCATGCAGGCAAAGAAAGCTTCAAGCTGCAGCCTAGTGAAGTGGGAACTGCTTCTCTGTGTGTCATGCAAACTTTCAAGTGGGGACACACGGCAATCACAAAAGCTCCCTTGCATAAATCCCCGTGGGGCTGGCCGGCTGGCCTCCACCAACCTGGAGAAGCACGTGAGCTCGAGGAAAGCAAAGGCAAATGACCTCAGCAGCACGCAGCAACATGGAATGTGTTTGAATTACGACTGGAGCAGCTCTGCGACAAGGGCACATGAGGGAAGGGCTCAAGGAAATGCATCACGCCTGCACTAGCAGTCAACGCTACCCGTGGCTATGTCTTGTAGTTGCATGTCAGCTGCACAAACACATTTTCGCTTGACTCTCGACAGCACATCTGCAGCTCATCGTTGCTTGGTGATCATCAGAGCAAACACAGTCAACATGCCCAGCACTTTGCAATGAATGGAGTTGCCCAGCATCTTTGCTAGCTTTCCACGTGAGCAGGCTTCCAAGTGTTCCACAGCCCATGGAAACTCCTCATGCTCCATCTGACGCCGAGCAGGAGCAGGCCATCCCAGAGCCATGGAAAGCTCTCTCATGAGCAGCTCCCTCTCATGCTGACATGACCACACCAATGATCCACACAAGACGCTGGGCATCAGTGCACTCCAACTCCCGCCCCAGGAAGAGCTCTGGGACAGGTCCAGGATGGGGTCCGGGATGTCACGGCCCTTGTCGCGAGCCGTCCTTAACAGATCCTCGTACTCCTGCAAACGCTGTCTGGGACCTGAGGGCAGGCAGGCCCGACCCAGCTCAGGAGATGTATGCCCCTGGACCTCGATATGCCTTTCAGTGGCAAGATGCTTCAACTCTGCCACGACATCATCTTCACTGGAAATAAAGAAGTCATGTCCCGAAGCCAGAACATGACCGCCACACACTGAAAGGAAAGTGTCTCGTGTGAACTGCATCAAGAGCTCAAACCTGGGGCCCACTGTCCATGAGAAACTGCGTGGGCGCCTGAAGGGTGCTCCTACATCCACAGGGGAGAGCTGCAGCACGGACGTGCACCATCCTTGCTTCCGTGGGAAAGCGCAGTCGTACGTGTCCTGTGAAGAAAACAAGTGGGAGCATTCTTGAAGCATCCAGTCTGCTCGAGTTTCTGCCGTTCTAACAAACCATATTGCAGCAGCCACAGCTGTCGAGTGGATCCATCGATCCTTGGACCCCTGGGGTGAGAAAGCGACGCAGGGGTTTCCCCCGACCTCGAACCGGATGTCACCATCGCTCATCTTGGGCAAGAACGGGCACTCCTGCTGACACATGAGACACCAGCCCTTCTCCTTGGTGCGGCCCCGTGCGCAAGCTCGCTTCACCTCCATGAACAGCCTCTCCATGCAGCGCTTACTCAATGCCTCGAGCTGGGCCTTCACATGGGTACCGCCGCATGCCTTCATGTCCCCAGCCCTCTTCCTCATTTCACCCACGATGAACTCAAGCTTCTGCACCACCTCGTTATTCATTTGCTCAGTGATATCCCGGAAGAGGTGCATGGGTTTCACCTTCGATGCCATAAGCATCTCCTGGCAGCGGGCATCATTCTCGAACGCTGACCAAAACCGAAAAGGCCCGAAGTGGCTCTCCATGCCGATGCCGCCCAGCTGCTGACTGGCTATGCGACTGAACACATGCTCAAAGGTGCCGAGGCCGGAGTATGCTGAAGTTACCCAAATCTTCCTCTGCATGTACCCCGACAGTTGGGAAAAGAGCTGATGCTTTGCAAGCAAGGCACCCTGCAACCGGGGTATATCATCGGGCCAATCCGACAGCTTGCTTGAAGAAACCTCAAACTCTTCTGTCTGCAACCGCAACAACTTCTCAGGAGGCCCACCACCGTTGCCACCCTGCACCACGCTCCTTTTGGACATCAAAAGCGAGCCTGTCTCTAGAATGTATATGCAAGCTGCTTGAACACCCATCCTCCAACCCAGCCTTCAGTCTAGTAGCCTAGTGCTGAGCTGTTTCTACCCTCTTGAAACCCTCTTGAAGCTCATCCTGCTCACACCTACGAATTTCAAGAACATGCGAGCTGACCTTGAGAACGAGCACAATTCATGCGGTGATCTGCAGACACACAAGGCTCTGGACACGGGATTCCTAGGTTCCCTGGACTGCACTGACTGCACTGGCAAAACTTCTGCAAACACGGTCCAGCACTGATCACGGTTTAGGAGAGCAGTCGAAATGGGATCCCGGCGAAGGGCAACGCAGCTCCTCCAGCCCGAAAAGGAAGCGAGGGCCTGGGCGGGACAAGCAGAACCACAATCGGACCACAAGCAGGTTCCACATACCAAAACGCCCCCAGCCAATGCGCTTCTAAATTAAATTGACCTCAGAAAGCCAAAACTAGCCGAAACATGCCCCAACAGATGAAACACGTGACAAAGATGGCAAAATACTACTTTGTCTAGAATTGAACACAAGAGTCGCGCAAGTGTCGCGCAACTGTCGCGCACTGTCGCGCTGTCAAATCTTGGTCGCGCGCATGTTAAACCAATAGGTTCAAGGGTCCGAAACAGGTCGCGCAACCGGTCGCGCTGCCAAAAACGGGTCGCGCACAGGAATATAAGACCCCCCCAGAAGAGTCGCGCAAGTGTCGCACAACCGTCGCGCACTGTCGCGCACTAGCCCCGTAAGCCCAAATCTAAGCCAAATTGCCTCCTAGCATCCCTTCTACCACAATGTGGCACACTAGTACCCGAAACTGACGACTTCGGCTGCTGCACGCCGTTTCGCTGCTTGGCTCCTGGCACACCACAATCTGCTGAAGCCCGAGCTCGTCCAGGCCTGGCACAATAGAGCTGGCTCCAACTTCTCAGCACAGCCCAGTTCTTGAATAGGAGAGAGTCCACAAGGTCCGTTTGGGCCCCCGCCCTCTAATGTTTGTTTTGAAAAACGGTCCGAGGGCTCCCAAACATTAGTTCGACCGCATTTCAAAATCTGCCCACATGAACCCAGCCTGCGAAGCGACTTCCATGGCCCTTGAACGAGGATGCTGTAGACGATGAAGACCACCGCTCCTGGCCCAGAACGATACATTATGAATGCTTCGCTCCACCCTTTGGACTGATTGCAACACAAAGGTCACAAAGCATCAGTGGTATTCCTAGCTAGGATGGAATAACACACGCAACTTCAAGGACTGGCCTTCCCATCAAGAACTGCTCGAGCTGGAAGAGGATGATGATGAAGAGCTCTCGGAGCCAGACTGAAAAGGGTCTGAGTCCTGCCCTGCTGCACGGTCTGACTCTGCTGCTGAAGCTTCGGGTTCAGCAGGGGCCGGGGCGGCTGAGCTAGACGCCTTCGCCTTTGCTTTATTTTTGCTCTTGCCTTTTGCCTTACTCCGAGCTTTTGCTTTGGCCGCAGGATTGGCCACTCCTTCCCACCCTCCCGCATCCTCCGACAACCCATCAAGCTCGACATCAGTCATTACAACAGCCGGTGGGTCCGACGTCAACTTTTGCATTTCAACAAGCTGCCTCGCAGGAATGTCGGAGTCTCGCAACGACATGCGGATGTGACCCCTCTGCCTGTTGAATTTCTCTGCCTGATTGCACCAGTGCTTTAGTGCCAACAGGCATCGGTCTTCACTCGCTTCATCGGGGCCTTGCAAACTCAAGAATCGTTTGCAGCCGCTTTTGCTGTTCAAAGCGTGATAGGGGCATACAGCTTCGATCCCCCCGTAGGGGGGTGCAGCATTCTCATTCTTCCTGTGGAATGCAAAAGATCCCCATCTCGGAAGCCTGGGTTTGGGCTTAGGGGCTGCTTTAGGGGCGGCTGGCCGGGAAGGCTTTACAGACTGGCTTGAGCTGGCTGCCACTTCTATTGATGCTTGCAATGGAGGCTCGGGGTCTGCCACGCTGCCTGCCGATGCTGACGCACTTGCACTCGCTTCTACAGAAGGCCCACTAGGCTCATGCAAATCATACTCCTGATCTGCAAGCTGGGCCTCAAGCTCTGCCAGGATTTCATCCGTTTCGTCATCGTCCTCCAAGGAAACAGCAGGCAGACTGCTTGGCGCGTGCTCAACAGCCTCTCCTGCTGAAGGGTGCGGGGCTTCAGTGCGGGCTCGGCGGCGGGATCGGGAAGGCTCGGGCAGCACAATCGGTTCAGTCTCATCATCCAACCCTTCTACATCAAGCTCAAGATCCATCAAACCTGACACCGCTGGGGGCTTTCGCTTGCGAGAACCTGGCTTGTCAAGGTCTTGCAATGCAGCCAGGACAGGCACACCCGTCAAGATGCGGTCGTAAGCTTCTGCCGGCAATGCATGTGGAATGGACTCGATCGCATGCTCATTCTTTAGCTTCTCAGCATTCAGCAAGCACAACAAATAAGATTTCTTGACAGTCACTCCAGCCGTGTACCACAGCAGCTCCTCACCGAACTTGTAATGCAATGAAGCACGATCCTTGCGACCGACGGGGAGACGTCGCCACGTCCAGCCAGATTGCTGCATGACAACAAGTAACTGAAACTCATGCATTTCTTCAAGCGGCCCTGGCACGATCTGATTGAGGGCACGCGGCGAAGCTAAGCGATGTCTGAAGCCGAGAGAAGCTATCCCTTCCTCAGTCAATTGACCACCGAAGCCCGTCATGATGGCTAACCCTTTTGCTACCAGAACCTCCAAGGCACGTTCTTCTCGACTGCCCGCAAACGGAATAACACCAAAGGTGCAACCCTCCATTGCATGGTCATCAACCATCTTTTGCAAAAGGCATGACACATCTGCAGCTGGCAACTCTTCTGTCACATCAGGACAACACAATTGCACCTGGGATGGCTTCTGCCACAATTGAACATTCCGCAAAAAGGCATCCACACCCATGCTACGTGCAATCCCACACAAGTTGACAGGCTCGGCCCCCTCGCCTTCGGACAGAGCAGAAACTACGGGTGCCTCCGCAGTGCCCTCGTTGGGAAGCCTGACAAGCAACATGTCATTCTTATTCATGGTGGCGATGGTACATGGAGCGTGTGCTGGCTGGTGAATCCCAGAAGGCCGCAAAACGAGCGGGGCATACAGGTTCCTTCCAACCGACAGCACCAAACTGGCATCTGCTGCACACACACTGCGGACGTGCGCGGTTGCATGCTCACCATACAGTAACTCCAAGGAAAGTTGCTCTTTTTCAACAAAAGCCTGCTTCTGCTTTTGTGCACGCTGTTTCTTGACATTGTGCCAGCGCTCGGCCGCTTGAACATCCCCGTGCTGCACGCTCGCACCCCTGTAGAGAAGCAAACGAAGGGCCGTGAAATGTGCCGTTGTTCTGGATGCTTTGTCTGCTTTCAGTGCAATCAAAAGAGGATGGTTGATGAAACCTGTGAAGTGCTGGGCAAACTGCTTGATCTTGCGGGCACGTGCAAATGCATCCAACAACATGGTGAACGCATCAGGCTGCAAAGCTAGGCACCTGTTCAGTTGGGGCGCCCGCAATGTGATGGACAACGCAGTCATACTATGGAACTTGGGCATAGCACCAATATCCTTGTGGGCACCTTCTATGATCCTTTCAGCTACTTGCACAAAGGTCAGCGGGGCAAGAAAGGCTTCCAACATCGGACAGTCCTGTAGCGAAGCATCAGGAAGCAAGTACCGTTCGAGATCGGCTCGCAGCGGGCCGACCTTGAACAGGTGCTGGGCCTAATGGTGCTGGAGGACTTTCGCCTCCTCAGGCAGCTCATCCCAAAGCCGGAGTGCTTTGCGCAAGCAGCCTTTCGACAACTCTGAATCCGAATGAGTTCCACCAAGAATGACCCAGGGCAAAGCCTGCAAGTATGCAAGTCGGATCTTGAGATTTTCATGAAAGTACATCCCTCCTTTGTGCCATTCTGAAGCCAACCGACCCCACTGTTCCGTGGACAAAGCTGTAGGATTCTTCGACATGAAATCATTAAACCCAGTCTGTGCAAAAGTCTCTGCAAACGTCTCCATGTGACCGGCTACCAAACCGGCAGCCTGGCAGCCCATCAATGGGCACTGGCAGGTAACCTCGCCAGGGCATTGGATCTCCTCCCGCAAAGCCTGCTCCTGCCCAAAGGCAGACTTTCCCTGCAGCAGGTTGGAATGACAGGCACAACCCTCGACCCAGCGAAGCAAATGCTGAATCATGTCCCGGAGCGCAATCTGGAGCTGCCAGTACACTAGAAAGTAATCATCCTTCAGAACTTCTGTGATGGCACTGCAAGAGAACTCTTCCGTTTCCCCGCCATCGTCTAAGCCGCGAGCATAAGCGACCCCATCCCAGTATTGTCGACAAAACAACAACAAGGGGTAGGCCGTACGCAAGTACCCGGCAAGCTCTCCCCACCTTTCCGTGTGCAGGGTGCCTGAAAAACTCTCCAAAATCTGCTTTCCCTGATCATACTGCGGCGTTCCATGAAGTGCCACATGCAAGAACCGATCCCTGCGTCTTTTCACAGAGAACAAGGGATGTAGCTTCTTGACACTTGCGATGAACCAGTCAATATCGCTGAGGGCCGTATCTAGATTCAAGCAAGCATTGTGAATTGCATGGCATGTCCCGGGCACATGAATAGCATCGGGCATCAGGGTGCTTTCACGTGCTCTCTCGGGCTCAGCTGTCAGCAAGCCCTCATCTGCAAAGTTTTCATCCTCAGTGTTGCAAATGTGCAAACGAGAAGGCCTGACACACGGCGGCAGCACACTTTCGATGCACTGCACCTCACAATCCGGAATACCTGCTTCCACTCCCATGTCGCTACACCAAGCCACGCATGAGCTCAGGTAGGCTTGCAATCCCTCCAAATCCCCAGCCTCTAGCAAACCGGACTGCACATGTGCACTCACCTTGTCTATAAGCTTCGTTCTGCCCTGCCCCAGCAACTGCGGCACTTGAGTATG